GGAGAATTGCCTGAACCCAGGAGGCAGAGGTTGTGGTGAGCCGAGATCGCGCCATTGCACTCCAGCCTGGGTAACAAGAGTGAAACTCCGTCCCCAAAAAAAATAAAATAAAATAATCCTTTCATCCTCTGTCATTTATTTTGAGGGGAAAAGCTGCCACTCATGGAATTATGCACAGAATTTGACCTTTCCTTTTAGTGTTTAGGATTATAATTATTGTTAGAACATTAGTGTGGGCTGGGCACGGTGGCTCACACCTGTAATCCCAGCACTTTGGGAGGCCGAGGTAGGCAGATCATGAGGTCAGGAATTTGAGACCAGCTCGGCCAACATGGTGAAACCCCATCTGCACTAAGAATACAAAAATTATCCGAGCGTGATGCCATGCGCCTGTAATCCCAGCTACTCAGGAGGCTGAGGCAGGAGAATTCCTTGAACCCGGGAGGCAAAGGTTCCAGTGAGCTGAGATAGTGCCATTGCACTCCAGCCTGGGTGACAGAGCAAGACTCTGTCTTGAAAAAAAAAATTAGCTAGGCATTGGTAGCATATGCCTGTAATCCCAGCTACTTGGGAGGCTGAGGCAGGAGAACCACTTGAACCCAGGAGGTGGAGGTCTCAGTGAGTCACTGGATTCCAGTCTGGGCAACAGAGCAAGACTCCATCTCAAAAACAACAGCAACAAAGAAAAACCATTAATGTGGGCTAGAGAGCAAGAGGAATGAGACCCCTTCAAGGAACTGCCTGCTTGTTGCCATATTGTCTCCAGCACCTGTGCTCCATGGGCTCCGGCTAACGAGGTGTTCATGATACACAGGTGCGGAAACCTTCACTGCAGCTACAACAGTGGGCTCAGACTACTCAAAGCAACACTTGCTACAGGAGACAGTCAACAAACAGTGGCAGCACCTCCCACGTGGCCAGTTGGTTCCCCAGCCGAGTCGTCATCATTTGCTCCATCAAGTCTGAACACTGCTGTCCTGGAGCGCCATGCACCCAGTTCACTGAGTGGACTCTGGCTTGCTTTCTGTCACATTCTCCACCACCCTCTGCATCTAGCACCGGCATGGCTGGTCATCTTTCCTGACCTGGCTCCCACGACCTTCTCCAGATGGTTCACACTCACTGCAGCTGAACCACGGCCTCCCACCACTGCAGGCAACACAGGGCTTTAACTAGGAGTCCCTAGGGCAGTGCATCGAGAAGGGAGCAGCCCCTTGTACTTCCTCCTTCTAGGAATGAGACCAGAAGAAGATCAAAAGGCAGGCAGCCTTTTCTTTGAGTTGGGAAAAAAAAGTTAAACGTATGTTTGTTTTTCTGTTGCAATGATTGCAAAAAACAAAACCCACATAGGCTATCCTCCCTGTGCCTCCCTTTTATATACAGGTAATTTTTGTTTCGGAGATGGGGATCTAACTCTATTGCTCAGGCTGGACTTGAACTCCAGGGCTCAAGAGACCCTCCCACCTCACCCTCTGGGACTTAGTAGCTGGGACTACAGGTACATGCCACTGTGCCTGGTTCGTAGGGTGTCTCCTAACACCTGCATTCCTCTGGGCAGCAACCCTGCCTCCTCCATTCTACAGGACCCTTCTCTTCCTACTCTGCCCCACCCTACATTCAGAGGTTACTTTAGTCTCATTTAGCCTCACTTTTCCTACTTTTTTTTTTTTTTTTACTATCTCCAGTAATGGGTATAAGCAAACTTTTCCTACCTTTAAAATCTGAAAGAGGCCAGGCACAGTGGCTCACGCCTGTAATTCCAGCACTTTGGGAGGCCGAAGCAGGCAGATCACCTGAAGTCAGGAGTTTGAGACCAGCCTGGCCNTGAGAGCCAGTCAGGGAGTCCCACCCACAGCACACATGCGTCCCAGGCTGCGGTGTCAGTGTTGAAAGCATTCAGTGGCCAGGCACAGTGGCTCACGCCTGTAATTCCAGCACTTTGGGAGGCCGAAGCAGGCAGATCACCTGAAGTCAGGAGTTTGAGACCAGCCTGGCCAACGTGGTGAAACCCCGTCTCTACCAAAAATACAAAAATTAACTGGGTATGGTGGTGCGTGCCTGTAATCCCAGCTACACAGGAGGCTGAGGCAGGAAAATTGCTTGAATACGGAAGGTGGAGGTTGCAGTGAGTTGAGATCATGCCAATGCACCTAGCCTGAGCCACAGAGTGAGACCCTGTCCCAAAAAAAAAAAAAAGAAAGACATAGAAGTCACTTCAACCTAAGCTCTGTGAATGATTGATATTACTCTCCTTAATGTAAGTTCTAACATCATTATTCTCTCTTTTTTTCTTGGTATCTTCCAAATGCAATGTCTTACTCTTACCCAGCTAATAAAGAAGACAGTATAGTGATAAGAATGAAATCTTGGGGTAGCGTTTCTCTCATTTGGGGGTGATCATTTGAAAGAAAAGACAATGACCAAATGTCAGTGCGATACATGGATGCCATGCTACTAAGAGGTATTTCATGACTCCAGTGTATATCAGGAGAATGATTATTTGCAAAGACAGGGAACAGGAAGGTTAAGAGACTTAGGTGATAAATGAACAAGATTCAATATTACCGTTATTAGTCCAGGGGCCCCCAAATTGGGGAATGAAAAAGGCTATGTGTACATATATTTTTTATTTTTAATTATTTTTAATTGTCATATAAAAATTGCATGTATTTGCCGGGCGCGGTAGATCATGCTTGTAATCCCAGCACTTTGGGAGGCCAAGGCCGGTGGATCGAGACCATCCTGGCCAACATGGTGAAAACTCATCTCTACTAAAAATACAAAAATTAGCTGGGCATGGTGTTAATATTTGTATTTTTACACATACAAAAATTAAGCCTATCCAGAGAGAAGGGCCAGGTCACCTATGAAGGAAAGCCCATTAGACTAACAGAAGACCTTTTAGCCGAAACCCTAAAAGCCAGAAGAGAGTGGGGACCAATATTCAACATCCTTAAAGAATTTTCAATCCAGAACTTTATATTCAGCCAAAATAAGCTTTGTAAGTGAAAGAGAAATACAATTCTTTCCAGGCAAGCAAATGCTGAGGAATTTTACACATACAAAAATTTGTATGTGTAAAAATACAAAATTTACAAATTTACAAATATGTGTGCCTGTAGGCCCAGCTACTCGGGAGGCTGAGGCAGGAGAATTGCTTGAACCCGAGAGGCGGAGGTTGCAGTGAGCTGAGATCATGCCACTGCACTCCAGCCTGGGTGATAGAGCGAGACTCCGTTTCCCAAAAAAACTGCGTGTATTTATCACATACAATGATGATTTTGTTTTACTGCAGCCTCAATCTCACAGATTCAAGTGATCTTCCCACTTCAGCTTCCTGAGTAGCTGGGACCACAGGCACCTCCACCTCCCAGACTCAAGCGATTCTCCTGCCTCTGCCTCCTGAATAGCTGGGACTACAGGCACCCAGCATCACACCCAGCTAATTTTTGTATTTTTAGTAGAGATGGGGTTCCACCATGGTGGCCAATCTGGTCTCGAACTCCTGACCTGCCAGCATCTTTTAATTCATATATTTTCTCCTCAAGTAAGCCAGAGCTAATTGATTTTTTTTTTTAGGGGTCAGGAGACTTTTATGACAATGAGATTATAGGCTCCTGATATCAGGGGTATCTGCTTAGATTCATCTTCATTGTTCATCAACTTTTCTCTTTTTTTTTGAGACAGTCTCAGGTCTCACTCTGTCGCCAGGCTGGAGTGCAGTGGCGCAGTCTTGGCTCACTGCAACCTCCACCTCCCGGGTTCAAGTGATTCTCCTGCCTCAGCCTCCTGAGTAGCTGGGATTACAGGCATGCACCACCACACCCAGTTAGTTTTTTGTTGTTGTTGTTGTTTGTTTGTTTGTTTGTTTGTTTTAGTAGAGACAGGTTTTCACCATGTTGGCCAGGATGGTCTTGATCTCTTGACCTCATGATTGCATTCCAGCCTGGGCAACAGAGTGAGACTTCTCTCAAAAAAATTAAAATAAAATAAATAAATAAAAACCTTACAAGAGTATAACTCACAAAAAGGTGGGCTGGGGGGAGGGTTTGGGGAGTATAGCTCACATGTGAAAGCACACTTGTAAAAATTATCCAAGAGGCCGGGCGCGGTGGCTCAGGCCTGTAATCCCAGCACTTTGGGAGGCCGAGGCGGGTGGATCACGAGGTCAAGAGATCGAGACCATCCTGGTCAACATGGTGAAACCCCGTCTCTACTAAAAATACAAAACATTAGCTGGGCATGGTGGCGCGTGCCTGTAATCCCAGCTACTCAGGAGGCTGAGGCAGGAGAATTGCCTGAACCCAGGAGGCGGAGGTTGCGGTGAGCCGAGATTGCGCCATTGCACTCCAGCCTGGGTAACGAGCGAAACTCCGACTCAAAAAAAAAAAAAAAAAATTATCCAAGACATTAAACTCGTCCCTGTAGCTGTGCCTCCAAGCCTCTCGCGTAGCTCTAAGTGCCTGGCCTGGCCTGTGCTGAGACTGTCATTTGCTCTACCCGATCCACATGTGTCCCTTCCGAATCATCCTGTCTCTGGGAAGAGCCTTCTCCCCTGGGGGCTCCCCTGGGCCCTCGCTGAGCCAGCCTCTCTCCCTCTTCTCTCCCTGGCTGCAGCACCCTGTCCAAATGCTGCCACGCGATGGTGGCGCTGATCTACCCCTTCACCTGGCAGCACACCTACATCCCGGTGCTGCCGCCCGCCATGGTGGACATCGTGTGCTCGCCGACACCCTTCCTCATCGGGCTGCTCTCCAGCTCACTGCCGCTGCTCAGGGAGCTGCCGCTAGAAGAGGTGAGCTCCTGCTCGGGCTGATTCTCCTCCCTGCAGGGGGCCGGCCCTGCAGGCGTGGCGGAGTGGTTCTCAGGGCCCCCAGTGTCGGGGAGCAGGGCGTGGGGGCCACCAGGGCTTATGTGCCATGAGTCCTGCCCAGAGGCGTACTCACTCAGACCCTCAGTGACTGCAAACAGTTTTCCCTTCCAAGTGGAATGCCTGGTATGAGCACCCCTTGAGAAGGGCAGCAAAGAGCAATTTAGCCAGATGTCAAAACTCTCAAGTCGTTCATAGCCCTCTCCCCTCCCCCACCTCCCACCCACTCCTCCACACTGGGGAGCTAGCAAGATCCCGTCCTTTGTCATATCCATTAATAACGTTTTTAATCCCCAAGTTCTGGCTGTCCAGTTTGGCATCGAAGTGGGGAAAGTCCTGCTTGGCACTTCTGGAGGTATTTAGCCCAGCCCCTTCCTCGAAATGGTTTCCAACCCAGGACTGGAGGCTTCCAGCCCTCAGAGAGGGAAGCTTAAATAATGCTACTCAGTCCTGAAGCACCAGGAGGAACGCCTGTCCCTCTGTCCTGCAGTTCTGCCTGGGTTCCTCGAAGCTGCTCCTCTCCTTGCTCAGATAGTCCTAACGCCCCATTAAACATCGCCCACCAGCCTTAGGACTTTCAGTGCAGATTTGAAGACCGCCAGGAGTGCGTCTGGTGCCCTGTGCAGTGGCTCGTTCAACCCTCAAGAGTATGAGTGGCAAGGAAGGAGAGGCAGCCCTCCGCTCCTGGGCAGGTCTCTGGGGTGTGGGAGAACCCACGCGTTTCCAGCTGTTGTTATGGTGACCATCCAGGCCCCTGGCTCCTCCCCCATTATGGCCGGTGACCTTGGCTGGCATCTGAGTGAGGGTCTCGTGCCTGTGACCTTTGCTCCCTAGGCACGTCACTTGCCCCACCCTGGTCCTGGCCCCAGGTCTCATTCTCACTCTGAGGAGTGCAGCGCTGTGGGGGGGTGGGGGGGAGGGGAATGCTTTATCCCAAAAGCCTTCAGCAATGAAAACCCAAAGCCTAACCCAGTCTCCAGGTGAGTTTCTCTCCTCCTCTCCCCTGGAGAGAAATGACACGGCTAAGTGGGGAGCTGGGGGAAGGACCAGGCAGGGGCCCTCGGGTGGGAACCACGGAGGCCTGCAGTGTCTTTTGCCCATCTCAGTAGCCCACACCCAAAAAGCAGCCTGAGAAGCTCTGCCTCGGCCAGGGTGAGAGCCAGTCAGGGAGTCCCACCCACAGCACACATGCGTCCCAGGCTGCGGTGTCAGTGTTGAAAGCATTCAGTGGCCAGGCACAGTGGCTCATGCCAGATCACGAGGTCAGGAATTCAAGACCAAACTGGCCAATATGGTGAAACCCCATCTCTACTAATAATACAAAAATCAGCCGGGTATGGTGGCACATGCCTGTAGTCCCAGCTACTCAGCATGCTGAGGCAGGAGAATAGCTTGAACCTGGGAGGCAGAGGTTGCAGTGAGCTGACGTCGCACCACTGCACTCCAGCCTGGGTGGCAGAGCAAGACCCCATCTCAATAAAATTTAAAAAAAGGCC